ACTATGCTTTTGAATGGAAACATGTGTCATCTTTTCCTACGAAACAACAAATCTAGGAGACAATTGTTATAAAATGTCTCATTCTACAAAAACACGAGTTCGATATTCCTCCATGGATCCATTCATGTACCAGTGTTACGTTTAGTTCAAATTGTGATGAAATTAAATTAAGTTTTGAGGTACGCGATAACATCTGTTTTTACTTATTATCAATTAATTTTAAATTAAATATCTCCAATGAAAAAATTCTTATTCAGTATTATTCATTTCATATAGTAAATATTTGACAAGAAATTTAAATAGATCTTTCTTTGTGAAAAATAAATAGATTTAGTGATTCATGTATTTATGTTGTGCAAAATATTAAAATACATATATTTGTATCTTATTTTATATGAAAATTATATATTATAATTTATTTAACACAGAAATATATAATATATATTTTTTGTTTTGTTAAACTCATATATAATTATTGTTACAATTTTAAGCCGTGTTACTTTCTTATCTTATTTTCATATTGTATTTATGTAATATTATCGTATCATATTTTAAATTATCAAATCTAAAAATAAACTATTCATACATATGCATTGACAATATGTAAAAAAGTAGAAATGAAATTATAATTTATTAATGATCGATCTGAAATGGTAGAAAGTCTTGAATTTGTATTTTGAACTCAACTCTTTAAGCAAATTCATGCATTTATCATGTATTAGTAATGCAATAACATTAGATAACATTAGGAGAGTGTTTGGTTTACAAAATTTAAGATTTTTCTCAAGAATCTTAATTTTTTAAAACGATTCCTTTATTTGGTTCATGGATTGTGATTTTTTAAGATTTTTAAAAAATTTTAACATTATCAAAAAGGAAGAAAAAAAATCCAAAATCAAAACCCTTATCTCTCCGAGATTATTTAAGATTCTTGGCAAAAAATAAAATTTGTCTAACTTTTACTTTGAATAATTAGTATTTATAATTTATTATATCATTCAATATCATAAAAATTGTATCATAAATAAAGATCCAACTGAAACGGGCATAGGCATTCGAAGCCTCAATTTTTTACACTTGACAGCATTATGGATAAATTTTATTTTTTACAAAAAGAAATTAATTCTATTTTTTTCTATTCTTATTGAGTTTAATTAAGTTATTTTAGTTTATTTTTTATTGAGTTTTTTTAACAAAAGAATTGATTTTATATATAATAAATGAATGTGTGTAATAAAATATTTGTTTTCAATTGATAAAAAACAACAACTATATAAAAATAAGAAACGTAGTATTTGTAAAAATACAATATGAACAAAGTTTATTTATATTATTTAATTTCAGTAACGAAAACGTTTGTTAATAACGATTGTCGTTTATGTACAAATAAATGACGTTTATTAACACCAAACATTATTTATTATAGACTTTTTTATTAAAAAATTCAAAATTTTACATCTTTAATCTATTGAATTAATAAGTTATATAATATAAATTAATTTAATTAAACCATCCGCAAGTTAAATAAATATATTATAAAAAGATTAAATAAATTAGTTATTCATATGTTAAATAAATATATTATGAAAACAATAAATAAATGATTTTATAAATATTATGTATTATTTGTGTCGTCAAGTTTAATATAATTAAAAAAATTCATTGATAATTTTAAATTTCGTAAACTAAATACAAAAATTTCATATTTCCTAAGGTCAAAAAAACATAAAATCATTCATTTTTTTGGATATCACTTTTTCCTAAATTTACTTTTCTTTCTGAAATTTAAAAATATGCGAACCAAGCATTCTATGATAAATTGCATGTATATATCATGCTTTCTTTTCCGAATCAAAAGAAATTACCAACTTTTAGTTGGTATTTAACATTCAAACCTAGCTTAACTGGGATTCCATATATATGCTAGAAAATCACCATACCAAACATTGAAATATTGTATGTTTGTCTTAGCAGTGAGCAACAAGGTCCTTTTCGTACCATTCCATAAAAATTAAAAAACCCACAGCTAGAGTTGACGTGGAGAGCAATGATTCAAAGAAAAATCCTCCTTAACCTCCTTCGATACAATTGTCTTAATTTAGAATAATTATGTGTTTTATGAACTTCATTCATTTTCTGTTTGGACTATCTCACAGAGTTTAATTAAACTACTTTTCAATTTTAAAAGCATAACCTTGGCTTCCTTGTCTTAATTTCCGATTTTGCAACCTTTAATCAGAGCCAGAGCATTCTATACAAAGTATAGCAGTTTAGCACTTGACATTCTTGGTATATGGGTGAGAAAATCATGTATGATACAATTTTTGCTAGAAGCTTTAGTCGATCTGACCAAAAGAAGCTTGTATATGGCGCATTTCTTGGTTGTTTGCTCATTGCATTGAGCTTCTGCCTTGTTTTCAGGCCTTACTCGGGTCCTCTATCAATTGGTGTGTTCCCAAATTCCGTTTTTTTTCCCTCTTTTTCAAGACAATTTGGATTAGCCTGGTTACTAGCTTGTGTTGGGAATATTGACTCAAATCTCATAAGAGATTTGTTTGGGATTTGTTTGAGATTTGTCAGATATTGCTTGATGGACAAGAAGACTTGCAAAAGAAAAATTCCAAGAGAAAGAGGATTCTTAATAGGCAAGTTTGACTTACAGGAGAAAAATTCTAAGAGGAGAGGGATTCTTAATGGGCAAGTTTGTATGGTTATAAATAGGTGAAGTCTCTACAAGGTTAGGTATGAGAAAAAGATGTAAGAGAGTTGTAGGGTTTTGTGGGATAGACACCCCATAGGAGTATTAGGGCTCTACGTCTTATGGGTGTGTATGTTTGTTTGTGAGTGGACTAGAGGAGATTGAGAGGGTCCACATAGGGAGCATATGGGTATGTGTTTGGTTATGTTGAAAGAGTGCACAAGGGTTTGAGTTTGTGTTTGTTTGGGTTGAGAATACTCCATAGGACTAGAGGAGATTGAGAGTATCTTATGAGTATTGATTGTTGAGTGAGGTTGATGATTTGATGTATGTTTGTAATTCTCTACAACTAGTGGATTTTGTTTCTCATCCGTGGATATAGGTCAGTTGGACCGAATCACGTTAAATTATTGTCTTTTGTGTGTTTGATTTATTGTTTAATTTCGCTTCCGCTGGTGTGATTGGATTAGAGGCTTTTAAGCCCAACAAATTGTATCAGAGTTTTTAGCCCAACAGCTTGCTGGTGATCTGTGCGATTGTTACTAATTTACATGATTTTGCCATTGGTTTTTCATTTTCAAGGTTTCAATTCTGTACCAAAGAGAATGAAGCTAGTGTGCAATTCAGAAAAAAGATCAGATTTCTGTGAGATCAGTGGAGGAGAAATAAGGATTGATGCAAATTCCTCTATTGTTTTTATATCTGCTTCACCCCAGGAAAGTATGCTGGAAGAAAACTGCTCTCGGGTTATCAGACCTTATGCTCGAAAAGAAGATGAATATGCAATGAATATGGTGAGGAAATGGTCAGTAAGACCAGTGTTGAATAGCAATGCGATCCCTCAATGCAATCAAAATCAGTGTTCCGGCCATCCTCTTTTCTCTTGGAGGGTATTCAGGAAACAACTTCCATGACTTCACCGAGCTCGACTGTTTGATGGAGAAGTCAAGTTTCTTATTACCAATAGAAATCCATGGTGGATTAAAAAGTTCCAAATTTTACTGCAAGAGCTGTCTAATTATGAGGTTATTGATATTGATAATGAAGAAAACATTCATTGTTTCACAAGTGTGATTGTTGGTCTCAAAAGTAGTCCTCAAGAGCTGAGTATTGACCCTTGGAGATCACCATATTCAATGAAAGACTTCAAGAAGTTTTTGAGAAGTGCTTACTCATTAAACAAGGCTACCGCGATCAAAATGGAGGATGATGGGAAACAAGACCTCGGATTCTCATCATTTCAAGAAACAGAACAAGAACGTTTAGAAATACAAATGAAATTGCTAGAATGGCAAGAAACTTGAGCTACGAAGTACTGGTAGCGGAGGTTGACAGTAATGCACAAAGATTTGCTGAGATTGTGAATTCTTGTGATGTTATGATGGGAGTTCATGGAGCTGGACTAACCAACATGGTTTTTCTTCCTGAGAATGCAATTTTGATTCAGATAATTCCTTTTTGGAGAGGTGGATTGGCCAGCCAGAACTTCCTTCGAAGAGCCTTCCAAGGACATGAACATAAGGTATTTAGATTACAAGATTAGAAAAGAAGAGAGTAGCTTGATGCAACAATATCCACCGAAGCATGGGGTTTTAAAACAATCCATCCTCCATCTGTAAACAGGGGTGGTTGGCATTCAAGGCAGTGTATTTGGACAAACAGGATGTCAACCTTGATGTCAATAGGTTTAGACTCACTTTGCTAAGAGCTCTTGAGCTTCTACACAAGTAAATTAATATTTATTTGGGTCTGCATTTCAATTTTTTCAAATTTAGTTTCAAGTAATTCAAAATAAACATTATATATAAGACGAAAGGGATACATAATACTATTGCTATCAATTAATTAAATTTTTTTGTTCAAATGGAATAAAAAGTTTATGATATCTAATAAATATTTGTAATATTGAACAACGGCTTTATGCTACTCTATCTAGAATGCTCTTGCGTGAAGGACACTGTTGTTTTTCCTACAGTAGCAATAGCTGTCTTTGTTTCCCAAGTGAAGAAATGCCTAAAATGTTCTATCTTTTGTGATGAGTACGTAGGAAACAGCGTTGAATCATGTCTGCGTTCTAGTACTTCTTGGTGACGGATTTGGTGCCACACGTGGGATGGTTAGGAATAGTCTCATTTGGGGTGGTAAAAAGGATGCAGCTTCAAGTTGATCAGTATCCAATCTGGTGAGTTCTCTTGCATCTGATCCAACCCACTATTTGGGGGGAATCACCCCTCAACTTGGAAGCATTAAAATAACTGATCGACTGGGTCTTCTGAAGGGGTGAAGTAATGGAGGTTGACACATGGGTCGGGGCATCAGGGAAAAATGGGATGAGCCAGAAGAAGTTAGAGATGAGATTTCACCTTGGTTTATTGAGAAGAATGCAATTCAAGAAGAAACTCCTGAAACTATCAAAAAATTAGACAATACCAGAAAGTACATAAACGGCAAACTTAAGGTAGATCCCTTCCTCATTATTTTTCTCTTACAGAACCCAATTCTTGATGCCTCTTGCTTCATCTGCAGGTAATTCTAGCACATTTTTCCGGTTGTGCATTATATAAGTAATTCTTGAGCTAAGGACTATTTATCAACAAAAAAGAGGAAATGCATCTTTCATGCATGCAGCCTCCTCACATAATTTCCACTCTTCTAATTAGCTCAAATAATTCCATTAATATATAACTGTACATGCAGACAATATTAATTTTTTCAAATCATAATCCCAGTAGAAACTCAGGCTGTAAAAATAGAAAAGGATCTGATTACAGTAACTCTTCTTGTGTGTAGCCCAAGAGGACTGACTTGGACATGAACCACCACGTCAATAATGATAAGTACGTGAACTGGATGCTTGAGGTGAACCACATACATCCCACAAACTATGCTTAGGTTCCAACCTCAATAAAAGAAACAAAACATAATATCATAATTTTGAAATTTTCTACCACTGCTCCTACAGACCATCCCTGAATTTTTTTCTCGAGGGCTATCAACTATGCAGTATCACACTGGAGTATAGAAGAGAATGCGGAAGTTCCGATACGGTTCAATCTCTGTGTCAACCTGATGAAGATAGAGAATTGCAGGATGGAGTTCAAGATGATATCGGTAAAAATTGCAAGGAACATTTACGGGCATCAGAGATAGAAGGAGATGCATCCCCTAGCCGACCCCCAATATGCGTTACACATCTCCTCCGGCGGACTCCACAACTGGAGATTGTGGGAGGAAGAACCACATGGAAAAGAAAACCTTAGGCTATCCCACCGAGAAACCTACCAATAGCCACTACCAATTTCCGCCAGGGTTCTGACTCATCAGGAGCATCACTGAAGGTAAACTTAATGAAAATGCATCTTACGTGTTTCAGTTACAGCAGAAACAAAAAATATATGCCACAATTTTTTCCTTCTTACCATAAAAGAGTACCACAATCTTGCAAGATGGGCTTAAAAAAGTACTAAACTAGCATTTGCGCAAATAAAATATGCATGAGTAGCCAGCGGAGGATCTAAAATTTTTTTAGGAACATCTAATTATAATGTTATATCGTACGGATCCGTGAATTTATTATTAAATTTAATTTTAAAGAGTCGCCACCAAATATTTTTATTTAAGTGTTTAACTACCTGATCGAATCTGTCTTATTTAAATAAGAGTCTCAAGATTGACTTATCTTTAAATAGTATATTCTAATCTACGAAATTATATTTAAGTTCAGGAGTACGGTTACATGTAAAAAAGTTTATAATACCTACACAACATCCATCCCAAATGTGATACTAGTTTGATTTCAAATTATCAAAGCCGTAAAGTTTCTTTGTAATTTATCAAAAATTTTAATTATTGAAAATTGATCTTAAAATTACTCAAATAGTTTGGTAACAATTTAAAATAATTTTTTCACCTTAAGAATATTTATGAAAACTAGTGTCCCATTTGAAGAGGCTTTGTCATCAATTCATTAAATTTTTTGTTAGAAAAAAATTAGTAAAATCCTCCAATAATTTGGTAAGATTTACTTTGATACAGATCTCCAAAATAGTTTTGTGAGATTTTGTTGTAAAGATTATTTTAGAAGATTCATTAAATCTTCCAATAATCTATTAAGATTTAAAATTCAAATTCTCTAATAGTTTGGTAAGATTAAAATAGAATGGTTTATTTTTTATAAAAGTTGATTTATGAAATTCTCTAATTGTTTAGTAGAATTAATAAATTTATTTTGGGAAAATATTTTTTTGTTGTTTTTTAATGAATAAAAGAAAATTCATAAAGGCATTTTAAAAAAATTTTGTTCAATTTAAAATAAGTCAAATAATAATAATAATAATAATAATAATAATAAATCTTAAAATAAAATAAAAAATGAAAACATAAAATAAAATGAAAAAAGAAAAGGAAATACCAACGATCAGGTTGGGTTTTACATGTGGGTAGCACAAGGGTCAACCTGGTTGGGAAGAGTCAACCCCTTTACCAAAATGACACTATTTCAATTGTGTATAAAAGTCAACAAATTGGTTTTTTCTTCATAACACTATTCCCCCTTCTTTCTCCGGAAACTTTCTCTCTACCTTCTCTCTAGGGAATTCATTAGGATTCCCAAAAAATCCAAGAACACAGCCATAGATACCAGGTTTGAACATCGAGAAATTCAACTAGCTATCGAAACCTCAAACTTTTCTAGAAAACAACCAACAATTATAGACTTCGATCACTGTTTTTTCCTCCAACCACTGTTAACCCAACCATAAAAATCAGACCTCACAAAAAAAAACCCAAAAATTCAAACTTTCAAACAAAAACCCAACAATAAACCCAGAATTTGAATCCAAACCCAAAAATTCAAATTAAACCCTAGCAATTCAAGCCAAAACTAAAATAAACCTACATAGAATTAAAAACATAAACCCAAAGATGTAAATCAAACTTAGAAGTTCAAAATTGACTTCAGAAACACCAAAAAAAAAAAAAAACTCAATCCTAGAAATTGTATGAATCAAAAACCCAAAAAGAAAAAAAAAAGCCCAAAAGAATTCTCCAAACAAAATCCAAACCCAAAAATTTTTCAATGCTTCAACAGTTGGAATTTGCTTATTGCTGTCTCAATTCATTCCCCCCTCCGTTTATGATTAATTGTCCACTTTATAGGGATTCAATTTCACATAATCTAGGATTTGATGTGATTTTATTGTGAATTAATTATATAATTAATACCAAGAATTTTTTGAAATCATCTTCATTGAATTTTGTTAAAACTTTCCATTTTTGTTTCCTAACCATTTTCCTTTTTTTTTTTTTTGACTTTTTTTAGAAAAATGTAAAATTAAACCCAAAGTTAAGTTAAATCAAATTAAAATTAATTTTTTTCCATTGGGCACTATTAATGGCTGAAGCCTGTTTTCGATTCTAAAAAAATTTTGGGACAAAATTAGATGTCTACAGTTGTCTTTCTTTATACAATTTTTGTGGAACAAAAATTATGCAAATATATAGACAATCATTGTGTCTTATTTAGCCAAGGATCCTCTAAATAGAGGCATGCAAATTTTAAAACAATAAATTAAGAAATGGGTTCCTCTAAATAGAGACTCAACAAATTTTAAAAAAACATTAATTAGGAAATGTAAAAAGATATCAAAATTTTTAGCTTGAAATCTAAAGATTCACAATTTGAAAATCTAAGGTTTCACAAAACCACAAAGATTCATAAGGTTCCATAACAAATATTGAAGATTTTAAGACTCTAAGATTTGCAAAAATATTTGTAATAATTTCAAAATTAGTAAAGATTCAAGATTCGTAAACGTTTTTAGATTAGCAAAATTTTCAAGTTTCGCAAAGATTCCAAAAGTTTGTAAATGATTCAAGATTCTTAAAGGTTCCATATTCACAAATATTTCAGATTCGCAAGGATTCCAAGTTTCGTAGAGGTTCTAGATTCACTAAGGTTCCAAATTCACAGGAATTTCAAATTTCGCAAAGATTTTAGATTCGTAAGATTTCAAGCTGGCAAAGGTTTCAAAAGTTCATAAATAATTCAAGATTCCCCAATGTTCCAGATTCTCAAAGGTTCTAAGTTTTGCAAAGATTCCAAATTTGCAAGAGTTTTAGTTTTGCAAGAACTCAAAGATTCACAAGAGTTTCAATTATTTGCAAGAATCTAGAGATTCATAATAATCCAAAGATTCAGAAGAATTTCAATTTTGTAAAATAGAAGATTTGCAAAAAACTTAAAATTTGCAAGAATTCAGTTTCGCAATAATGAAAAATTCACAAAAATTCAAATTCGCAAGAATTTTTAGATTATAAGAGATTCAGGTTCACAAGAATTTCCATCATTGTAAAGATTCGCAAACAATAATTCACATACAATATTCAAAGATTCATTTTCAAAAATTTTTATTAGTGATTCACATTCAAAATTTAAAGTCTTATATTTGAAAATTTCATGAATTCACATCAAAGGTTTCAAGGCCCGCATCCAAACTTCAAAGATTCTCATTCAAAAAATTTCAAGGTATCACATCCAAAAGTTAAAGATTTACCTTCGAAAAATTTAGAGATTCACATTGAAATTTTTAAAATTTCACATTCAAAAAATTTCACAACCAAATTTCAAAAATTCTCATATGAAAAATTTCTAGGTTTCACATCCAAATTTTCAAAGATTTACATTCGAAAAATTTTAGAGATTCACATCCAAAATTTCAAATGTTCACATTCAAAAAATTGTAAAGATTCACATCAAAAATTCACATTCGAAAGATTAGATATTCACATCCATAGTTTTCAAAGGTTCTTTTTTCAAAAACTTTATGGCTTCACACCCAAAGATTCTCATTTGAAAAAAAAATTTAGGGTTCCACATCCAAAAGTTTCAAAGATTATCATTTAAAAGGCTCTTTTAAACAAAGGTTCTATAATTTTAAAAGTTTGGAAAGTTTGTCAACAAAAAATCTCATCATGAAAGATCTTCCTTATTTGAGGATTCAAAAATAAAAAATTTTCTCCAATCAAAGTCAAATTCTTCTATGCGACAAATGTCATGATAATAATGCAACTGCCTTCTAAATGATGCAAATGTCACAATCCAGATTTTCACTAAATGATACAAATACAAATGCCATACTATGATTCAAATATTCTCTATATGATGTAGATGTATGCCCTAGCCATGATGCATATATAGTTATCAAGGATTTAAATACGATGTAAACATGATATATGTAATGCAGATGTCACTAAATCAATGTTATGAAATTCTAATTATGGTAACAAGATTCTCAAGACTCCATTAATAATCTCAAAACCTATTCTATCAACTGATCCATATTATTTTTCACATCTGGTCCCAACTCACAGGTTATAGTAACCAATCCATTACTGTGTTCATTACTGGTTCATTTCATCTTCTTAGGTTTCTTTCACTTTTATCATCTTGGATTTCTTTCAAAATAATGAAAAAAATCTTTTACAGACATTGTCATTCACTTATTTATCACCATTCTAATTCGTAACAAATATGATAAATTTTTTCAATTTATTTAGGGAATGCAAACTTGGTAAAGACTAAGAAAAATAGGTCTTCATTATTGAAAAAAAGTATGGTTAATAACAACTCAATGAAAGCAAAATGCTATGACTATGTAAATGGGATATTAACATCCAGAATAATGATTGTTCAAACAATTTTGAACTCTAACTCAAAATTTTCTTTAAAAAATATATCCTTAATCTTTGAGCCAATCATTATCTTTATTCTTAGGATCTTTATATGAAGCTATTTTTCATATTTTCATCTTCACTTAAACATCCCTTTCGAGTTTTTAGTTTAAGTCTTCTTCTTTTTTGCATTTTTTTGTACATACTCTCTTCATTTTTTTTTATTTCCTTTTTTTTTGGTCCATCAATGATAGCAAAATACTAAGTAATCCAATGACAAATTTGTCTTAGTTCAATTCATGATTCTTCAATTCGAGTATTCACATGCAATCAAAATAGTCTTTTAAAAGACATAATGTAGGCTGAGGTAGAGGGTTATGAAAAAAATGGATAAAATAAGCCCAACTATATTTAAAAGGTAATCAAAACCAAAGATCATTTTTTTCATTTAGGGCACCTTGACATTTTGTCCCATCAATTTCTTTTTTTTTCTCTTTTTTTTTCTTTTTTCCTTTTCATCATTTTTCAAGAAAATTTTAAGTATAAAAGGGCTTTGTCCCTAAAATCACTAAGGATAAACAAGCTTCTT